GAAGTCAAATGTCCTTCAGATATAGCCAACATATTTAACGAATTCTTTGCAACGGTAGGGCACAACCAAACAACCAGCTCTAACATCGCCCCTGGACAACCAGTGGTTAACCCCTCCACATGTTCAATGTACGTGCGCCCCGTAAATCAAAAAGAAATAATCGATATCATTCGATCAACTAGAAATAAGCATAGTTGTGGTATCGACGATATTCCACCAATCTTATTAAAACAATGTGCAATGGAACTTTCAACCCCTCTGACATTACTAGTAAATCAAAGTTTTGAAGACGGTCAATTTCCAGACGCACTAAAAGTCGCCTTAGTCAAACCAATACATAAGAAAGACGATACAAACACTCCTACAAATTATAGGCCAATAGCCCTTTTACCAACGTTTTCAAAGGTATTCGAAAAAGCTATGTGTAACCAGCTATATGCGTTCCTTGAAAAGTTTAATATTCTTGACGATTCACAAAATGGATTTAGAAAATGTAGATCAACAACGTTAGCCGTGTACAAATATATTCAAAGAGCGTTACAACACATAAATGACAAACAACACGTAGTAGGAATGTTGCTGGACATGACAAAGGCGTATGACAGGGTCCTGTACGACATTTTACTCAACAAATTATATGGCTGTGGAGTACGGGGACCCGCTTATTCATGGTTTAAATCATACTTAGAAAATAGGACACAAATAGTACAAATTAATCATTACAACCATGACAAAAATGAAATAAAATCCTTCAGATCTCGAGAACTCCAAATAACTTCCTCAATACCCCAAGGAAGTGTATTGGGTTGTGTGTTATTTTTAATTTATATAAATGATTTGCCAAAAACATTAGACAAAGAAAAAACTCTGCCGGTACTTTTTGCGGACGACATTTCGATACTATTAAAATGCGAAAGTGAAAATAACCCAAATCTTCTTTTACAAAACACTCTTCAAACAATAGATAACTGGCTTAAGGATCACAACTTAGAAATAAATTCAACTAAAACAAAAATAATACAATTCAGATCTTATAAAAAATCTCCTTTAAAATTGAACATAATGTACAGAAACACACGTTTAGAAGAAGTTGAGACATTTACATTACTTGGGATGAAAATAGACACACATATGAATTGGAAATCACACATCGAGCACATTAAATCAAAACTTTCTAGATTTTCTTACGCCCTTCTTCAAATTAAACGATCTACTAACACACAGACAGCTTTGTCTGCTTACTACGCGTATGCATACTCGTGGCTCCGATATGGCATCATGCTATGGGGAAATAGCGTTAACAGCGGTGAACTATTCATAATGCAAAAGAAATGTATAAGAATCCTAGCCCAAATTAATAACACGGAGAGTTGTAAACCATTTTTTAAAAAATTTCAACTTTTAACTCTGCCCTCGATATATATACTCGACATATGCGTATTTGTGTTCAAAAATATTGATGCCTTTACAAAAGTAAAAGACAATCACACCATAAACACCCGGCACAAAAATAGGCTTTACCTTCCTCCGTCAAGAATAAAAATGTTGAACGAAAGCCCATACTATATGGCAGTTAAAATATTTAACAAGCTACCAGACGTTATTAAAAACGAAAGAAAACCACTACTTTTCCAAAACAAAATTAAACTTTATCTCACACAAAAATGTTTCTACTCAGTCAAAGAATATTTGGAACCTACCTCAACATAACATTTACATAATTGCGATCCGCCCTATACAAATATTTACTAATTTTTTTTATCACTTAATTTCAATTTTAATATACAATATAATATAATTACTTTAACTCATAATAATATTCAAAGCTGACATGATTTTATTGACAAATCTTTATTTATTGTCTCACTTATTCTATAAATTCGTGCATATGGTATAGAAGAACTTTTAATAATAAAATTGACCTAGTATGGACTGTGAGCTGCTAGTGCAGCACTTTATGACACCTTTTGCACACCATTGTCATGGTAGAATGTACTGAACCAGTATTGTAATTATTGACATCTGTTGTATGTACTACATTCTGCAAATAAATGAATTTGAATTTGAATTTGAATTTGAATTTGGTAACCTGACAGAATTGCTACATGAGCTGGCACGAGAATCTTTGTCTAGTTTGTCTAAATTCTTTTCAAAATTATTTATAATTGTTTGAGATTTTGATAATGTTTTAAAATACAAAGATTCAAAGTCCGAACGTTCTTTCAAGTTTGTTTCCAAGTCACCTGAAAGCTCTAATTGTGATTGAATACTATCAAAAAGATTATATAAATCCTCTAATTTAGTAACGCGCAACTGTAGTTCCCTGACCGCAGCTTCATCCAATTCAGAAATATTGATAGCAGCCAAATAATTAGCGCATACTGTGAGACGACCTTTACCGACCGAACAGTACCACGTCTCTTAATAAGCTCCTTCTCATCGGCCATGTTAGGAAACAGGTGTGTAAGTCAACCTGGAAATTATTTGTATAAATTTAAATAAATTACAGACTAAACAAATCAATAACACTTTGTATGATAGGTAAATTCCTTTGAAACAGGGAAATTATTGATATAGGTGTTTATTTATGCTATACAAGCTCAACAAAATCACAACAACAATAAATCATCACTTATTACACTGCAAATATAGCAGTTCTTGGTTATATCAATAACTATATAACAGTAAAAGAGCTATAACTTAAAAACCATTCAAATTAATACCCATCTAACATAAATTAACTAACTACCTACTTATACGTAGTTAGAAGCAAAAGTGAAAAACCTTTTATATAAATATTGTTCTAAAATGTATGTTAATAAATCTATGATATACTCGTAATAACATGTATTATCTAAGTATGTCTAAGTCGATTTTATTCAATATAGTATAATTTTGTATCTCAAAACCTAATGAATTTTTACACCAATGACGTCATATTATTAATAATAGTTTAAATTCAATAAATTAAATACAATAAACATTTAATATTATTTATTTCATTATAACAATTCAATAAAATATATTATAAATAATAGTATAAATTCGATGGCTTCAAAATAATAATTTATTAATTAACATCGATAAAACTAAATTAATGCAATTTAAACAAAAAACAAAAAACACTTTGCATACTCTAATAGAATTTAATGGTGAAAAAGTTGAATTGACGACTACAATAAAATTTCTCGGTGTACACATAGATGACAATTTGAAATGGCAAAGTCAAAAGTCATATTGATTTCGTTTGCAAAAAAGTGTCACAGTCATCTTATAGTCTATACATGCTAGCAAAAAAGGTCAATCTTAACTCATTACTCGTAGCTTATCATAGTAATGTTGCTTCTAGACTTAGATATGCAATCATATTCTGGGGAAATACTACCAACTGGGATAGAGTTTTTAAATGTCAAAAAAGGTGCGTGCGAGCTATGTGCAGTCTTAAAAGAACTGACAGCTGCAAGAATTATTTAAAAAAATTAAAAATACTTACAGTTTCATCATTGTATATTTTTGAAATGGCATTGTTCATTAGACATAATCCGTCACTGTTTACATTAGAGATTAAATCGCGAAATAGAAGTCACTTGTATAATAACCTTACCTGTCACTATAGAACTACCCTCTTTGGGAAAAGTGTATTTGCTATGTCCACAAAGATCTACAATAAGATTCCTAACAATATAAAAGAATGTGGCAACGTCTATGTCTTTAAAAATGAATTGTTCAAATTTCTCACAGAAAATTGCTATTACTCTGTTGATGAATTTTTATCGACTCGATTTTTTTAAATGTTTCATGTCCAGGTTTAATGTTGTTTTTAAATACTATAATTTTAAATATTAATCAATATATTGCTTAATAATTTGTATGCCCAAATGGCAGATCATGGAATGAACATCATTAATAATTATGTAATGAACACCTGTATGTAACCCATGTATCACAAATAAATGATTTGATTTGATTTGATTTGATTTAGAAAACAAAGTCGACGAATTCAATTATTTTAATCACAAAAATACAGATATTAACATCCCTACCATTACTTTTGTTCAGCTTATTAGATTTATTTAACCTAAAATGCACTTTTTCACTAAAAATACATAGGGTCATTAACTAACAACAATTTACTTATGGTTTGTTAAAACAGGTAGGTCACAGTCGTCAGCCGGCAAGATCGCGCTAATATAACGCTAAGCGTAAACAACTAAGTACATAACTAATCTTAACTGAGTTTATTTAACAGTTTTAAATATTAATTATTAACAATAATTAATAAATGATTAGTTTGTTATGAAATAATGACTTATTTGAGCCAAAATGTTAATAACTTAAAAGTTTGGCTTGCTAACTACAATTCAAACATTGTAGGTACTTATAAGTTGTAATGTAAAAAAAAACATGTAAGTTATAACTTTAACAACAAATTAACTACGAAATAATGATAAATACGAGTACAACCTGTAATGAGTGCTGAGTGAGGAATTGTATCAAATAAAAGGGACTTATTACCGAAATAGATGTCCAGATTACAATATCTCACTGACAACACCTAAGGTGTAGTTAGGTAGTTCTAAATCCGTTTCGATATGGACCATGAAGAGGAGAATGCCAGGTCGTATTTAAAAGAAAGATTTAGTAGTTTAACAGGATCAATAACTTTAATTCGTAACCGTACATAGACGAGTGACGGGAGGGCAAGGTACCGAGCCGCGACCTCTGACCATTGAAACGAGATGGAATACATACTGTTTGACAGTATATAATAACGAAACGCATTGCTCTGAAACTTGCCCCTAACAATTATAAACTAACTTAAAGGTTTTCAACAAGCCCTGATAGATTACGGGTCTATCTCTTACAACGACATAATTGGGTAAAAACATATTTTTTATTGTCTTTTGTTTTATTTAGTTAATTAGTTTTTTTTTAATACCACCATCCATTAAATTATGTTGCGGCAAAAACTATTTGAAGCTCTATGAACCAATACATTTTTACTTATCATAGTCTTCTTTTACTAACTCTGCACCTCTTTCGCCGATCATCATTGATGGACCATTGGTATTACCGCTTGTAATAGTTGGCATTATACTTGCGTCGATGACTCGTAGATTTTTCACACCATGCACTTTTAGCCGACTATTCACAACTGAAGTTTTTGAATCAGTTCCCATACCACATGTTCCTACTGGATGGTACACAGTTTGTACCGTACTTAAACAAACACACTTCCAATAATCTCTGCTATCTAATTCAAAGTCATCACAAGGTGGCCATTGCATTCTGGCTAAAAATGCACCAATTGACTTAAAGTACTCCGTTTCTAATACCTTAGTAATGTGTTTAATACCAGTAACAATAGACTCTAAATCTGAGCGGTTTTTAAAGTAATTAGGGTAAATAAATGGGTGATCATTAGGATTTTTTGAACGTAAAGTAATATTTCCTCTTGATTTTGGATGCAATAAATTGAAGGCAAACAAGAAGCAAGTGTAGTTCTTATTGAGTTTTATTAGAGGGTTGGCTACTGTGTCTTTTAACCTAAACCGCTTTGACGAAGCGGTAGAAATATCAGATGTATTTTTCCAAAAAATAAGTAGATGACTTTCATAGTCTGGATAAGAAGCATTCTTGTCAGCTGAAAAAAACGCCAAAATATCAGCAATACTATTTTGTGCCAAATAACCCGTTCGGTTATAGAGATATTTAATGACGTCAAAACGTTGATCCTCAATAGTTTCAGGATTGGATTCATTATTATAGATTGGAATAATTATAAAACTATGATCTTGAAGATTTTGTCCTACCATTGGCGCATGAACTATAGGCTCAATTTTTTTTGAAGCAAGGTAATCTTTGTTGCCTACTCCTGACAACATTAATAATTGAGGTGAATTTATAGCACCCGCACTTATGATAACTTCCTTATCGGCCAAAAACGTATAACGATTTGACCCACGTTTTACCTCAACGCCGTAAGCGACTTTTGATGAGTGTCTTATTAAAATCTTGGTAACAAAACTATTTTTCAGAACCTTTAAATTTCTTCTATGCAGCACAGGATTTAAATATGCTTTATTCGAGCTTTGTCTTTCTCCATTTGCACCTGTTACTGATGCTATACCTGAACCTAAAATGTTTGCAGTATTTAAGTCTGGTACATTCTTAATTCCAATATCATTCCAAGATTTAAGAATTTTTTCCGTCACAATTCTATATGTGCTATTAAAAGTATTGATTATCAGCGGTCCATTATGGCCATAATGTTCATAAATTCTTGGATTTTGGAGCAAACGCTGGTTTTGGTAGCTTTGTCCTTTTTTAAAGCACCGTCGAACATCCTGTACACTCCATTCTAAATTACCACCATCATACCAACTTTGATAATCTTCGTCATTGCCTTCTATATAAATCATGGCATTGAGATTACTGGAGCCTCCTAACATTTTACCTCTTGGCCAATTTATAGAATTATTTATAACAGCTTGATCCACATCTGCATCTCTTGTAGTTAAATATTGCCAATCATATTTTGTTGTGTATACGCTTAGATCTAATGCTGGAACCTAAAATAAAAAGAAATAAAAAAATTAGATATAGAAATCAAACTTAAGAAATGCTCACTATCGGCTGTCATAGCCTAAATCATAGCCAAGTTATAGTTATCATAGCCTATTATTCACTATGATTACTTGTATGAGCTAGTAGATCGTGTTACTTTCATACCCATTGGTATAGAACTAACGCGACCTACTAGCATACTTTGTTTTTAGCTAGCAAATTCGTGCTTTGTTAAGCATTGGAATGAGCCAAGTGCAAAACATTTTACATGTGCATCTGAAGGTTTCCAAGGTTTCGGAAGCTTTGCACTCGATGGATACTGAATGACCAAATGGTGGACCAAAAACGACTGCGTGTCCAGTGATGCCGTAAAATGATATAAAAGTTTAACGGAGGACAGTCACTGGCTGCCTATAATATCGTGAACCGAAACGAAACCTGGATGTACTGCTTTGAATCCGAAAGAAAAAGCCAGTCTGCATAGTGGGTCTTTCCTTTTGAACATTTGCTGACGAAAGTTACGAAAAGCCGAAGCATTGGTAAAAAAAACCATTTCTTCTTTTTGAACAAATCAGGACATTACACTACAGTATCGCTTGAAGATCAAAGGACAGTGACTGCAGATTGGTACGCCAACACTTGCTTGCCCAGGGTCTTAGAAAAAGTTTGCAAAAAGCTTCCTCGAGGCAACGTCCTCCTTCACCGCGATAACGCATCCTCACATTCCGCTAAGGTAACAGAAGCCTATTTGAAGGCGTCAAATGTGGAACTGATATGATGAATGTGGATCGCCTTGCGCCTAGCACCCTGCGACTTCTTTTTGTTTCCAAAAATTAAAGATAATCTTAGAGGCACACGTTTTATGAGTCCTGAATCGGCGGTGAATACGTTCCATGGGGCCATTAAAGAGGTCCTTAAGGAAGACTGGTCCAACTGCTTTGGATAGTAGTCAGCGAGCTTGCAATTAATTCATTTTTGCGTTCAGCGAATGCAAAAATGCATTAATTGCAAGAGAATATACTTTGAAAAAACAATAAATGTATCGTAAGTCTTATATCTATTTAGTATTATTTATCAGAATCCAGAAACTTTCAGTATGCCCTAAGTACTATGATAATAGACTTCCCATAATCGAATCGAATTCATTTCCAGATGAGACGACTTGTGCTCTAAAATATTTAACTTAAATTATTTGTTGTAAGTCGGTAAAAATATTTTAGGTGTATTATTGTGAATCACGTTTTTTTGTCAGATTATTTTAAGGGGGTTGTTAAATAATTTTTCATGGTGACCAACTGTCTTGGAAAGCGTCTTTCAATTCTTTCGAAGACTTTTATTTTTCGTTTATATTTAGTTCTCTGGGTGTTTCCAGAATTTCTTCTATTATTCTCTCAGGCTGGATTAGTGGTTGCTACAGTTTTTTTATGTTATCTTGTATTATTAATTTCTATTCCTGATCTTATTTACTATAAGGTACAAAACTAGAGGATCTTTGGCCTGTGTTAGGAGTTAGCTTTTTATTTTGTTCTCATACAATCTTAGCTCGAGACTGAGACCTCTGGTGATTTTAATCCTCTGATGATTTTGATTATCAATTTTTTAAACACGTTTATGATTATTTTTAGTAAAACAATCTTACAATACGTATTAATAACTTCAGATTTCTTCGCTCTTAGAGTTATTACTTATTTTTGCAGTTCTCTTCTTATTTGTAAAACTTTTAAGAGGATAGTCTTCTTCTATTGTAATGTTTTTATGTTATTTCTTATCTTTAATATTTTTATGCATTAATCCCCTTTTAACGGAGAAGACCTCCATATCACTTCCATAGTGATTTGCCTCAGTCTTATTATATTGAACAAGTAGTATCTTCTTTTGGATTTAGTTGGGGCTTTCTACGTGAGTTTATAGGAGAGATTTGAAACGGTCGATCAATATTTATTCATTACAGCAACTCATGAACTGCCCCTAATAAGATAATTGTATTTCTATTAGTATAATTATGTAACTTATAGATGGTGTTAGTAGACTTTTAACTTTTTTAAGATGAAAGCCGTTTGGTTGCTAAATCTGATAGTATACAAAAACTATAACTTTGTTAAATAAATATTGTCTGTTTTCGTTGATTTATAATTTTACTGGTTCTATAATTTTATTAACTTCACTTTTAATTCTATTAACTTAACTTGACTTTTAAACACTTTACTAACTTCTGAACAATTACTTTACGGGACCACTTGCCACTCGGGAACGTTTAAAGCATCTCCTCATGTTGCGGTTCTGCTGCTACGTATGTGTTTCGCGGTTCCTAAAATCACGTACTTATTGCGGACTACTCCAACCTGGCTTTGTCCGGAGGCTGTCTCTTTGTTCAATGGTGCTTTAAGAGATACTGCTGAGTAGATCCTTAATGTCTACCTTGATGAGCACCAGTGGATCCAGGCAGCTCTGCCAATAAGATACGGGGGTCTCGGATTACGGCGTGTACTGGATGTTGGCTTGCCGGCCTTCCTGGCGTCGGCGCATGGAGTTGCGGACCTTATCACTGTCACACTTTCTCCAAATGGTGATAGGGCGAGCATACCTTATGTGTCCTAGGCGGTATCGGCATGGTCGGCCGTCAACGCAAGTGAGCCATTTCCAGTGACCCTACACGTCCAGCGAGCATGGGATGACGTTGGAGCTAAGGGACTTCTTAAACAAATGTTGGATACTGCTAGGGGTACCGATCTGTCGAGACTGAGTGCCGTATCGCAGTCAGAATCAAAGGCATGGTTACATGCACTCCCGTCGCCTCACTTGGGCACCTTGCTAGACGGCGACTCTTTGCGTGTGGCATTGGCTCTCCGCCTGGGCTGCAGGGTGTGCGAACCACATAGATGTACCTGCGGTGCCATGGTAGGGACCGATGGTGTTCACGCACTGCGTTGTCGTCGCTGCGCAGGTAGATTTTCGGGACACCATGCCCTAAATGACATAGTCCGAAGGGCTCTTATATCCGCCAATGTACCCTGCGTGCTGGAGCCATCGGGTCTCAGCAGATCTGTGATCTGTGATCAGACGGGAAGCGGCCGGATGGCTTGACTTTGGTGCCGTGGAAAAACGGCAAGTGCTTGGTATGGGACGCTACATGCGTTAGCACAGTCGAGGCCTCACATCTGAGTCGCACCGTCCAAGCTCCGGCGGCGGCGGCGGCGGAGGATGCCGCCAGTAGGAAGCGATCAAAATACGAGTTAGGGATAAAAGTGGTGACTCCCGCTCCGGCTCGTTTCTGGTGCAAAGGATGTCCGTTGCAATTTAGCGAGGCAATGCTGACAGTATCATGGGCACCTTTGCACCGGGAGCGACGCGGGTTATATGAACTGACTTGAATTAAAAAAATAATAATAATTGTAAGTTAAATGTATGTGATGTATGTATTTAATTTAAATATGATTGTATATTAAAGATAAATAACTACGATAGCATTACTTTTTATAATTTCGTACCTTTCGTACAAGTGTATATAAATATTTAATTTAGTGCAAATTTTACCTCTTTTTAAAGGAAATGAATTTCGAAATTCGGTTTTGAATACCCGATGACAAAGGAGGGACTATTGTAGGTGTGTACATGCATTTGTACCTATTTACATCCAAAAATATTAATTCACAAAAATAATTTTGCCCATGCGTGAATAATAAAAAGAGTTAATATTGTGGTACTAACATTGGATTCCACAGGAGGGTCGTCTCCAGCTTCTAAAAGTAGAACTTTCCATTCGTTTATCTCGCTCAATCTATTTGCTAGTACGCTTCCTGCTGATCCACCTCCTACTATTATGAAATCAAATTTCGTATTACCTGTAAATAGACGTTCGTTAGAATTAGTGAATGTAAATTAATGTATTTAAATTATCATTGAAAGAATTTACTGAGAGAGTTCGATTTTTCTGTAGGGCTTCACGACAGAAAACAATTAGAATCAAAAGATTAATGTAACAAACTGATCTTTCGGAGCCAACTAAAGCCATTTTTTTTCGTTTTATTTCGTTTCTTTACGACAACACAAAATACATACTTATGCACAATTCCTATGAAAGTCATATTTTGACTGTTTTTTTTGGTGGTAAACGAACAACCAATCACCTAATAGTAAGCGACTAGCACTACACATGGAAACACAAGTGCGTAGCCATCTTTGAGTGCAAAGGAATAGTTAGAGTAGTCTGGTTTTATTTAATTGAGTTTAACTTGAAGAGGTTATTCTCAGTCGTCACTAATGGCTTCGTTCCCACTGGTTACAAATTGGGAAAAAAAGCATATCTTGTGTGTGTGTGTGTGTGGTGACGGTTTATAAAAAAGAGTGTCACCACCCCTATTCATCCTGGGGTGTCATAAGAGCCGACTAAGGGAGTAAACAACGCAGGACAATGGCACTGTAAAGAGAAAGGAAACTTGACACAAATCCTATGCCAAACCATATGGCCTCGATGTGTCAGCGTAGTAGGCCAAAGCCTTCTTTCTAAGGAGAGGTCTATTTCGAGAAGTGGATCATTAAAGGGCGACGATAAGGTATAGAGTAGTGTTTGATCTAACTTTAAATACTTACTTGGAATATAATCTTCTTTTACAATTCCTTCTGTAAGTAAACACTGACTAGCCGCAAAAAACTGAACAGCAGAGGCAAAAGTATTAGGAAATCCTCCCGTAGTCGGTATCTCACACGGTGTATTGTAACTATATCAACAAATAGGTTGAAAATTAGTTGATGTTGATAAACAATAATGATATTTATTAAAACTATATGTCTTTAAAATATATTTAGCAAAACAAAAGTACAAATTGTAAATACTATGAACCAGTCAGAGGTTCTGCTAGTAGTTTATTTTCAAAATATTATGAAAAGTAGCGGACATACAAATCGTTTATGTGTATATGTAATTTATTTCTTGAATAGTTTTATCTGTCGACATGTTTGTGATCTTTAATAAGTTTACGTTCCAAAGAACTCAGGCCAATCAAATAAACTCTATCTGTCGATTTACGCTAGGTTTTAAATACTTTTTAGAGCATAAACGAAGTAAGCAAAGGCTTATGCCATAGTTATATTATTGGTCCGGGAGCGATGAGGGGTGGGTTATATGATTTGACTTGAATTGTATGTATTCATGAATGTAATATCATTTAGATTATTTTACTAGAAATAATGATAAATTCTTACTCTTAATTTTTTTTTTATGTCAGAGGGGCAGACGAGCAGACGGGTCACCTGATGGAAAGTGACGCCCATGAACGTCTGCAACTCAGGAGTCACAAACGCGTTGCCGGCCTTTTAGGAAGGCGTATGCTCTTTTCTTAAAGGTTTGAAGGTCGTATCGGTCCGGAAATACCGTAGACGATAACATAAAATAAAATAATAAAAACAATGATTTGTATTTTGTACTATAATACTCACCACGACATTTTTAATCACGAAACAATTTTGAGGAACCAAGGCACCATCCATAACAACGTACTACCCAAAATTGTGAATGTTTCACAATGTTTTGTTTTATTATATACTCAAGATAAATTAAACAAAAGCTAATATGTGGCACTTTAAACTTTAATTAGTACATTGAGTAAATACGCGTATGGCAAGAAAACACAATAAAAGTAGAAATCATAATAATACAGTCATAAAAAAAATAGTGTGGATCAGGTAAATTTATTTAGACAAATAAAATAGAAGGAGACAGATAACATTGATCGTGTTACGCAAACGGTACGTATTAAGGTCACGCGCCTATCATATGGATGATATTCGTAGGAATGGATAGGAGTAGTTGACTATGTTTATTATTAATATTTTACCCAAGAATATTAATATATCACAAAAAAAAACAATATGAACATATTTTATTTAGCAATTTTATGAACAGTAACATGAGATGACTGACGCGTATTTATTACAAAATAAAACGCTTGAAGCTGTCTCATGTCATCTCGAATGACGTCACGGTGTGCAAAACAAACATCTGTTTGGTTGAAGTGTTACCGATAGACGGAGAGAGAAATAAATAATATAAGGTGGATACTAATTCTTAATGGATACTTAGTCGGCGTCAAGTCGACAACTAAAGTGGGCACTGAAAATCAGTACAGAAACGAAAATCAGTACATTGCTCCATCGCAGTGCATACTAAGGGACCACCTATTTTCTGAAACACGGCGTACAACCCTCAGCAAAATAAAAAGTTTTTCATTGTACATATGTAACATCTCATAGACACGTGTTGTCAGTGTTATGAAAGAATGACGTATTGAGATATGTCACTGTTAAATTTTAATTTGTTTTTTTTTTCTTTTGTATGTGTCATTATTAATCTTTTATTTTTTATATGTTGTGTTTTATGGTATAAATCATTTTCTTTCTTCTTTCTAATTATTACAGGTTAACGGTTATCCTGATGAATGTATTCCCGGAAGTAAACCTCCTTTCTAAGGAGAGGCCTATGTCCAGCAGTGGACTAGTATAGGCTGTTGATGATGATTGATGATGATGTATTCTCGGGGGAGCCTTTAAACCCTATGGGAACGCGTCCTCAAGGTGGCCGATAGGGATCGCCTGGGTCTACGTAAGTAGAATCAGGAGGGTAGGAGCGGAATAAAATAGCTCCAGCAGACCAAAAGGCCGCAGAAAGTCACTGCGATATAAACCCCTGCTGCGGGATTCTTCAACATCTTCGGAGCAGAGTGATGGAAATGCAACAAGTGCTAGGGCGTACCCCCAAAGCGACGCAAGTGTCATCAGAACACCCACGATGCGCATAGCGAGCTGGAACGTGGGCTCGATGACAGGACGCAGCTCAGCGAAGTATTAAATCGAAGACGCATCAATATTTGTTGCATCTAGGAAACGAATTGGAAGGGGTCCTCAGTAAAGATGGGTCAATAGACACTGATGTCACCCATTACATAAATACCGGGTGGATGAGATAAAGAGAACTATCCGGCATGCTATGCGATAGCCGAATGCCCGTGCGCATAAAGGGACGAGTATACAGAGCAGCCGTTTGACCGACCATGATATGTCATTCAGCACAAAAATCAATTACACTGCGCAAAGATGAAGATGCTCAGGTACCGACGACAACGAGACGACCCAGGACCGAGCTGCCTGGAGACACATGATACGGAGAGCCGACCCCAAATAAAAATAGAAAGGGCTAGGCAAAGAAGAAGGTTATCCTAGTATAAACATTTTGTCCTGTGGAACATCGGGTACGACTGGGCCCTACGAGGGCGTCTCCCCCCCGGGCTGGGTGTCATCTGCTACGCGGATGACACTTTAGTCACGGCCCGGGGGGGCTAACTTCCAGGAGGCGGCGCGCCTGGCCGCCACGGGAGTTTCCCAGGTGGTCGGGCGCATTGAGGCGTTGGGATTACGGGTGGCCCTGGATAAGACGGAGGCCCTATTATTCCATGGGCCCCGTCGTGGTCCACCCGCCGGCGCCTCAATCGAGGTCGGCTCGGTCCGGGCCCAGATGAGGTACCTGGGTCTGGTCCTTGACGGTAGGTGGCTCTTCGACGAGCACTTCCGACAGCTTGGTCCGAAGCTGGTGGACACTGCCTCCGCCCTAGGGCGACTGCTGCCCAATTTGGGTGGGGCCAGTGTTCCCACGAGGCGGCTGTACGCGGCGGCGGCGGCGGGGGTTGTTCGGTCCATGGCGCTGTATGGTGCACCGGTGTGGGTGGCGGCTCTGACCGCCCCAAATAGGGCACGCCTCTGGCGCCCCCAGAGGATATTGGCGGTCAGAGCCATACGCGGATACCGCACGGTGTCCACCGAGGCGGCTTGCGCGCTGGCCGGAACACCCCCGTGGGATTTGGAGGCGTAAGTGCTCGCCGAAGTTTATCGGCGAGTGGCTGACTTCCGGGCGGAGAGCGGATTCGCCCTCCGCCCGAAGACGTGCGCGAGTGGCGCGAAGCCGCTCGCCGAGCCACCATGGTCAGATGGTCGTTCCGGCTGGAGACTCCACGCGCTGGCTTCGCCGCCGTGGAGGCTCTCCAGACGGTCATCGCTGAGTGGGCAGGGCGGCAGCACTTGACCCTTTCCTTCCGGCTGACGCAGGTGCTTTCCGGGCACGGTTGCTTCGGAAAGTACCTGTACTCGGTCGCTAAGAGGGAATCGAGTCCCGCCTGCCACCACTGCGACTACAATGAGGATTCGGCCCAGCACACGCTGGCGGTTTGCCCCGCATGGGCGACGCAGCGCCGGGCCCTCACTGCAGTCATCAGAGCAGATCTCTCGCTACCGGCCGTAATTCGCTCCATGGCCGGTAGCGACAGTTGTTTTACCGCGGTCGCAACCTTCTGCGAGGAGGTAATCTCGCAGAAGGAGGCGGCGGAGAGGGCCCGGGAGGAAGACCTCCACTCGGACTCGATCTAGGCCCGCCTACCACAGCCTCATGCCGCCCTGAGTGTGGCCGCGGGTGGACGGGGTGGGTTTCCCCTCCACCCGCATTAGTTGGCCAGCCGCGAGGGGGCGGCGTCCGCGTGTGCCGGACGTCGCCTAAAGAGAGGGTCCACTGAGACGGAGCCCGCATCAGGAGCGGGCCGGCGCTGGGAGGGGTCCAGAAGGCGATAACTACCTGGACCCCTCCTAAACTGGAAGCGCAAAGAGGGCACACCGTGTGGTTTTAGTCGGTTCGAGTCCGACACACCGCCCCGCCGAACGAGAGCCCCGGCGGGGTGACGGTCCGAGGGGATTTCCACACGTAAAAAAAAAAAAAAAAGTATAAACATTTTGTGCTTTCAAATGAGCAAAATTAGGTGAAGAAAGTTCCATATAGTATATGGAAATTGACGGATGTAAGAAAAGAGAGAATATTAGAACGACTCAAAAAAATGGATGGACTGCATAAAAGAGGATATGGCTAGAAAGGGAGCAAACAGTGAACTGACGAGTGAGCTTATATGTGCCCCTGATGTTGTAATTCGTACCAAAGTTTCTTCCTCACCTTTTAAGTATTAGCATCTGCTTCTTAAAAATTACTCATAAACTTTGCCTTTATATTTTAAAACAAACTTGATACTATAACAAAAATGTTGATATTTAATGATTTCAGAATCTAATGCGGAGAGCATTAGATTATGAAATCATTAAATATCATTAGCATTTTTAGATTTCTTCTAAGAGTTTTATAAGTACACTTGAATTTGAAAGTAAACTGGGCTATTCTTGAATATAGTTTCGGTTGTTAAATATTTTAAGCTTGTTACCACTTGTGATAGCTTTAAATTTTTCTAATAAAATTCTGTAGCAGTGCTTGCAATTTCTTCACTCCTGCAATATATCCACATGAAGAATGCTATTCCGTACATGCAACAGTCTTGGAACCGCTTTACAAAGCAATGCAGTCGTGGTATGTCATAGAACGAATAATGTCGTTTTCTTCGTCAACAATCAATGTAGCACCACCATATAACTCCACCATATTTACTGAGATAGAATTGGCCATCATGTTTCTATGGCACATAACTTATGACATTATCTCCTTAAGCTCGCGATGATCTACAAAAGAAATTTCACCAATCGCTTCAATTAGCTTAAATTTAATTAGCATTGACTAACTTTCAATGATCTCAACCTTAAAATAACAAGAATTGATTTAATCAAAATACTGTTACATATCGTAATAACAATTATAATTACATGGCAGAAATTAGTGTTAGTTGCAAGAAATGTGTACATTGATTTTTGACAAACTACTGCCATTTAGGTTTTTAAAGCCTTCGTAGGTATATTATAGCTAGTTTTTAACCAACTTTAAAAAGGAGGAGGTTCTCAATCCGATAGGTATTTTTTTTTAATGTATGTACACCGATTACTCTGAGATTTATGATCCGATTTACGTGATTCTTCTTTAGTTTGATGCGGAGTAGTAGCCATTTGGTCCCTTAAAAATTTAACATAGTTAGGCCTAGTAGTTTTCATTTTATGAACATTTTTAATGAATAATATTGTTTACTTGGATGATATCATTTTAGTTTGTGTACGGCCTTTGTAGGAGTTTTCATTTTAGTTGATTATATATTATTTTATAAACATTTTTCAGGAGATTTGTAATGAATATTATTGTTTACTTGGATGATATAATTTTAGTTTGTGTACGGCCTTTTTAAGAGTTTACATTTAAGTTGATTATATATTATTTTATGAACATTTTTTAAGGAGTTTTCATTTAAGTTGATTATATATTAGATATTTTATGAACATTTTTAATGAATATTATTGTTTACTTGGATGATATAATTTTAGTTTGTGTACGACCTTTTCAGGAGTTTTCATTTAAGTTGATTATATATTACTATTAACCCGTGTCCCGATAAGTGGGTCTTAGGCTACCCGTCATTAAAGCGGAGTGAGCTTGCGGAGTAGAGAAATTGAGAAATATTATAACTAATACGATTGCATAGAA